ACGACGAACAGGTCGAGAGTGAAAGCAAGGTTAAAAGCTCAACCTTGGATTCTTTTGTCAAGGGACCCACCTTTTCAGCGGACCTTCTAAACATGATCTTGGTTATATGGCTCGTCCAACACGCCCTTCCGTGGGCGCGATTTGAGGATCCTTCGCTTCGTGCAGCGTTTTACGCTGCCAATCGCGGCGCTGTAGTACGTTCAAGAACGTGGGCAGCGCAACAATCGGTCTTATTGTTTTCTGGCTTGCACAACAAGGCCATCAACACTGTCAAAGTGAGTTTTTGATTTCACTTTTCCAACGTTCGGTTCTTTCTTTATTTCATTTTTTATTTTAATACTGTTTTATTATAATAAAACTTTCTGTCTATGTAGGAAAATAAAGGTAAGTTTACTCTGATCCACGACGTGTGGACGACTAAAGGCAATCGGTATGCCTTCATCGGAGCCACCGCGAATTACATCGACAATAACTGGACCTATCAATCCACACATCTCACTCTCAAACTGGTGGCGTGGCGACACTTTGGAGCTCTCTTAGCTCGACCCATAGGTCGATTTTTGATTCGGCACAGTCTGCACAAGAAGATAAGTATATACTTGTCTTTGTAAATTTTATTTTATTTCACAAGCTAATTATGATATTCATTTCTTACATGATTGCTCAGACCACCGATGGCGGTGGAAACAATGGACCGATGGCTGACAAGCTCAAGACCATGTTTGCGACAGCTGAAGAACCGGTTACATGGGAAGCATCATTGCACCATGTCCGATGCTATGCACACAAACTTAATTTAGTAGTGGGACACGGCCTTAAGTCACTTGGGCAAAAGGTCAGTTCAGCAAAGCCAACCATTCCACTTGGGGTTCCACTTCCCATTCCATCGATCGGGGTCAACAACGGCGAGGATGAAGTTCACATCGACGACTCACCCTCTGATGACGAGGATGAGGATAATCTTCCTGAAAAGCCCGATGGGGTCGACGACGTGGATACCGCTGACGACCTGGAGGAAATTTGTGATAAGGATGACTTGGTTGCCCTTGCCCTGTCAAAGGTTAGTATATTTCCTCCTTACCATCTTTCACCCTTGATTTAACTCTGTTATCGATGTGTACTGATGGTGTCTTACATTCCACTGACTGTAGATTGATACAGTCAGTGGCCAAATCGCCAGCAGTGCTGCCAGGCGGAACGACTTCAAGACACGTGCGACTCGAATGGGCTACCAAGGACGCATGCTTAAAAGACCTTGCAAGACTCGGTGGAACAGCCACTACGAGAGTCGCAAGGTCGCTTGCGAGGCACAGGAGGTTGGTTCAATTGTTTTCTTTCCATTCATTATAACATCTCTGACTACTTGAATCTTTGCAGGTAATAAACTCAATGCTTGCCGCCGATCGCAAGGCCTGCTTTTTCAAAGGTGTTACAATATCACCTTCAGAATGGCACGCAGTCGAACTAGTCAACAAGGTTTTAAAGGTATACCTCTCCCTTATTTTGTTTCTGTTAAGTACTTTCACTGATTATCAATTCCTCTGAGGCCAGACCTTTGTAGATGCGACAGCCCGAGTTGAAGGAAATGGACCGACCGGTTGTATTGTATTAGCTGAATACAAACGGGGCATCACCGAGCTCAAAGCACATCAGAAAGAGTCTTCAGAATACCCTAGCCTGGGACGCGCGATCGACGAAATGCTCAAATGGCTCATTAAGTACCAGGACAAGACTCTTTCATCTGAAGCTATTGTTCTTGCAACTATTCTCAATCCTCGGTTTCGCGCAAAGTTCTTCACGGTATTCTATCCCGAACACGAGTTCTCTTCAAACGCAGCTATCCAACTCGCATTTGACAGTCTTGTCCTAGAACACGAGCATCGAGTTCCATCCCCACACCCTGAAGATCAAACCACTACTGATGACCCCGATGAATTTGATATCTTCGCACATCCTGCCCATCTTGCTGCCGACAAATCATCCCAATCGGAGCTTGAGGATTACTTGCAAGGAAAATACCCAATCAATAAGGATCAAACCCCGCTGGAATGGTGGAAGGTGTGTTTGTTTATATCTTACTTATTTTACTTCAATAGTTTCGCTTCTAATCTTGATTGGAAACCTTGACTCGCAGGATCACGAGCAACATTTCCCCATCCTTGCGCAACTGGCGCGCGATTACCTATCTATTTCAGCAACGTCTTGTGCGTGTGAGAGGACTTTCTCTGCGGCCGCGGACATTTGCACCCCCTTGCGTGGAGCAATGCTTCCCAAGACGATGGAACGATTGGTAGGCTCTCAAGCCTGGTTGAAAGATGGGATCATCCCCGATGGTGATTTTGAGGAGGCTGCAAAGGCTTTGCAAGGTTATATCGAGAGCTTGGTAAAGAAGAAGAAAACTTGATACTTTTTGTATTACTTATACAAATCCTAAATACAAATGTTTCTTACTCGATTAGGGCGGTTCAAGACAGATTTTGCGAACAGCTCGCCGGATATTGGCAAACCTAAATTTTAGGGGTGTGACACCCTTAAAATTTGCGTTCGCAGAGTGACAGCGTCTGTAAATTTAGGATTTATGACCTTCTCTTTTCAGGTCCAACGTCCGGAAAAGTCAGTTAGCTCCTCTTTCGTTGGATCAAACGGTCTTTTTTTTCAACATGAATGATTTTTTTTTCATATGTTTTGAATCACCTGGCCTCTTCATCTACCCTCCAACTGGTAATCTCGACCCCTGCTTCCAAACTATCATCCAGTTCACATCTTCAACACCAATCCACTTTTTCACCTCCATCATGCCTCGGGTATCTGACCGAGCAGCTGCGATACGAGATCTCACCATGTTATGTATGTTTGCTCATATGAATGCGGCCACCAACGATCCGGGAGATGGACACCACCCACTTGACCCTAGCGATGGCCGAATTGCCTACCCAGAAGATGAATTTATGGCAACGTTATTTGATGACCTGTTTGACGAGGAAGAGATGTGGGGAGACATGCTCACCACGGTCATCTCGAACCGATACCTGGAGCCTCGAATGCGTGTCCGACCAGCTAATCTCTTCGATCTACGGGATATGTTGCATTCTCGAAGAACCGACTTTCGTCAAGCTATGAGAACAACTCCAGAAGGTTTCGGCGCTCTTTTAGGCATGATTCACTTACATCCAATTTTTGTGTCGAACACCAACAATCCGCAACCTCCAGTGGAACAACAGCTTGCCATCACACTCGAGCGCCTCGGCAGTAACGGCAATGGAGCTTCAGTTGGTCGTTTTGCGAGGAACTACAAAGTGGCTCGCGGTTCTGTAGTCAACTGCACTCGGCGCGTAATAACGGCTATCTTACAAGCGGGGTCTCACTACGTCACATGGCCAAACTCAGACAGACGCAAAGCTATATCTAAGGTGCTGGAGCGGGATGGTTTCCCTGGCTGTGTGGGGTTTGTCGACGGAACTACCATTCCCCTCTTTCAGCGACCAGGACGTGATGGTGAAGTCTTTTTTGACAGAAAGCACCGTTATTCAATCAACATACAGATCATCTGTGACTGCGATCGCCGAATTACTTATGCTTATGGTGGATGGCCCGGTTCATGCTGTGACAGCACGGTTTATTCAAAAACAGATGTTGCTAACGCTCAAAACAAATATTTCGATAAAGGTATGTCACGTTTTCCTTTCACCCGTGGCATTCAAAGACTGTACTGACATGTTTACTGACTTGTTTCTGGTCAGGCGAATACATAATCGCCGATTCTGCATACATACCTTCTGACTCTGTGGTTCCCTCATACAAAGGCCAGGCAGGTGACGTTCAGCGCAACAGAGAGTTCAACTGGTGTGTGGCGAAGGCTCGTGTGCGCAATGAACATTGCATTGGTATTCTGAAGTCGAGATGGGCGTCGCTTCAGGGATTACGATTGGCATTAAATGAGAAAGAAGATATGTATCATATCTTACGATGGGTTCGAGTGTGCATCATTCTTCATAATATGCTGGCCCAACTCGGAAACGCATGGGAGGACGAGGACCAAGAACTGATAATTGCTGAACGAGGCGAGGCTGGTCAAGATAGATTTCGTGAATTAGAGTGTAATATCGCTATGGTTGAAAGAGGAAGAGCTCGACGTGAGGCTGTGCGAGACTACGCGGTGGCGTACAACTGGGAAAACGGTGGTCTTCCAATTGTGTAATCTTAATCCGTCCTCTGTTCAGTTTCTCGATGTAGACTCTTCAGTACTCTTTGATTGTAACTTGGCCCTTTTCATCCGATTGATGTCTTTCGATTTTGGCTAGCTCTCTGTTCAATTCAAAGAAAGTTTTTATTAAAGTCTAGCTCTCTGTTCAATTCAAAGAAAGTTTTTATTAAAGTTGTCGTGTGATTCGATGTTGTTATTTTGTTCTGGTCTTGTATCTCTTCTGGTCTTGTGTTTCTGCAATCGAATGTGAACTTTCTGTGCTCAAGTGTATTGCGCATTGTATAGCAGAGTAAAGTCAGGAGTTGACACTTGACTTCATTTCAAAATGATATCAAGTGTGGTTTGTGAGCTTTTAAGCAGTTCAACGTGACTTTCCTTTTTAACATGACTTTTCTGTTGAACGTGACTTTTTTTTTAAACATCACTTTTATGTTTAACGTGAAGCTTTTAAGCAGTTCAACGTGACTTTCCTTTTTAACATGACTTTTCTGTTTAACGTGACTTTTTTTTAAACATCACTTTTATGTTTAACGTGACTTTAATGTTTAACGTGACTTTTCTTTTTCAATTTTTGAGAACATTTTGAACTGGATTTCATTTCACAAACTGATTGATAACATATCATTTCTAATTCTAAATCACATAACAAGAAGATAACATTGCTCAAAATTTGATATTCGACAACCAGATACAATCACATAACAAAAAGAGAAAAGTTATCTCTCAAAAATCGAAATAAGAGTACAATCGAAATGAGAGTACAAATACTTCAGGTCGGTCTGGAGACAGACAGAGGTCACAGGCCCGAGTTGAAACAAACAGATGTCATAGTCAGGCTGAGGTGCTCGCGCTATCACATCCAGAACAAGGAGCAAAGATCAGCACCCAATCCAAAACTTTGGCCACTAGAAGAGGAGAGATGGCTTACATAGGCCCCACCTCGGGGTATACCAGGCGAAGATAGGCCTCAAGTTCTTGAGGGGTCTTGCCCTCAAGAACCAGCTTTTCGCAAAAGGCTTTGCGCTCGTTGCGGGTAATGATAGCCATGCGATTGCGTTCCTCTTCGCGTAAGAGAGCCAATCGATTACGTTCTTCCTCACGTTCCAAGTAAAACTTTTCTTTGGCCCAACTGAGATCGGACTGTCGAGCTTCAGCCTCAGCCAGTTGTTTGGCGGCCTCAAACTCTTGGCGCCACTCGTTGGCAGACCGTAACATGTCAATCTTCGCCGCATTGCCAACTTGCATTGCGGTGGCCACAGGGTGTTTATAGTCCTTCCCTCGTACAGTTGAAGGATCAATCGAAGGGAGGGGATCGAGAGCGCGTCGAGCCAGAGTGGGACGTGCTGAACCACGACGTTGAGTTGAAGTGGTCATGGGTGCTGCGTTACCAGGGGTGTTCTCGTCTCCTGATGAGGAATCCATCGCACGCTCTTCCGCGGTTAACGTGTCTTTCTTCGAATATTTACGTTTGCTGACCTTCCGCGCAGGTGGTTTTGGGGGAGCCGCCGTTTGAGTTGAATCGTTCTTCGCAGCTCTGTTTGATGACTTGCTTGCCGACTGAGTGCATTTCGGGGTGGGTGGTGGTGAATCAACGTCGTTCTCGATGAAATTTCGATAGTGAGCATTCAGGTCATCTTCCGGGGTCGGGATTGGGTGATCTTTAGCCATTTGGGACTTGAAAAGGTCTTGATACGCTTCCAACTCTTCAGCATCAGGGCTTGAGAAACGATTGGTTGCAATTGGAGGTGGTAGACTATTTTTAGGGCGCGGAGTCATAACTTTGGAGGCATTCACATGGATTAGTTTGAAAAGTCGTCATTTCTTCTTAGATGAGCGAGATACGTACAAACGGGTTTGTTACCACCGGTGTTGTCTAGTACCATCGAGTTATCATGACCATCGGTTGTACTTCCTCCGTCGCTATTGGCGTCAGGCATGTGGTTCACATCGTTGGAGTTGGTGTTTCCAATGATGTCAACTTCATCGTCGTCGTCGTCGTCATTGGCGAAAAGCGCAACTGGGTCGATGCCGGTGTCGAGAATCCCAAAAGCGTTGACATTCCCCTTGTCTCGAAACAAAGCGTCCATCTCGCTAAAGCATGGGCACATGCTCTCCAAAAGCTGGTCCATTGTGCGAATCCCGTCTGCCACGTTTTTGGCAGACAAACCACTACCCGTTTTCTTACTGAAAGCCTTGGTGCTATGATATTTCGACTTATAGCGTTTCAAACGTTGCTGTAATACCCTTCCGTTCAGACGCATGTCGGTAGAGTTGTGTCTTATGTTGTAGTTGTTGTTCAACTTGATCGCAAGTGAGTTCAAAATGGTGGAGGGATTCATTGGCATGCCAGACACTCTGGTCTGGCTCCCGCCGCCGAAGATAGAGTTGCATATGTTGGGTTTACTGAGGTATGCGACAATAGTTTGATAATCGACAATGTCCAAAGGAGGGCTGTCCCGGTTCGGTTTGGCGGGCGCAGTCATGGAGACACTGCTAGCGCGTTTTTGAGCGGCGACTCGAGACCTTTTGATCGCCGCAGGAGTAGCTCGAGAGGTGGAGGATATTCCGGATGCAAGCAGGTCTTCCTCAATTTGAGCGCGAGTGCGACGATTTCTCTAGCAGAACAGAGAATTCGCGAGGTCAGCAACCATTTATTTCAGTAGACATGGTTCAATCAAAACACATACCTTGGAAGGCGCGGTGGGAGTTGGTGACATGATATTCGAAGATCACGGGAAGGTAGGGTGATGAGAAAAAGGAAGAGTGGAAAATGATGATGATGGAAGAAGATTTGAAGATGGAGATAAAGGAATCGAAAAAATGAGATGATGGGCCACGTATCAAAAGGAGATCTGAAACTAACCCAAGCGTTGAAGGACCTATGCCGTCTTTGAAAGCCTAACCCCAGTGATCCAAGAAACAGGGCGAATCCAAACCGAACGTTAGGCGGCGAATGCTGAGCTGGCGTGCTATCGAGAGGGGCGGTGACAGGGTGAAAGGCCAGGATCAAGCCTGATCCGTGAGGTCGGAAATGTGGTACGAGGCAAACCCGGATAACACCCCACCTCGCAAACCCGAAGGATCAAACAAACCCTTTCGAGAGAGGCGTTTATTAAGGTACACACACTGAAAAAAAAGAAACCCAAAAAAAAACGAAAAAAACTGCCACTGTGTTCCTTTTTTTTTTATAATGAAAAGCTCTAAAATTATAAAGGCTAAAGAAGAGATCGCGAGTGCGTGAACCAGCTCTAGAGCTGGTTCACAAAAATTAAAATAATACTTATAATTTTAAGGCACCGAGCAACTCTTAAAAATCTAAGACAGGCTGTAAACGGTCTACTTGAACCGCCCTATTACACAATGAGTACCATTTAGATTACATTTTAAATAAAAAATTTTCTTTTGCCCAGCTTTTTTGGCGTGATGTGCGCCACATTAGGGCGGTTCAAGTAGCCCATTTACAACCCAAATTAGAAATTCAAGTTTTGTCCGGTTCCATAAAATTATATGTAAAATTTTAAGGCCGCGAGCCAGCTCTAGAGCTGGCTCGCGGTTTTACGATCTGACCTTCGGTCATATATATTTAACAGCATTCTGCTGCTTCCAGAAAAAAGATATATAAAAAAATGTACCTAGAGATAAAAAAAATGTACCTGTTTCTTTTTTGTGGCTGTGTTGTCCCTGGTTTTAACACTTTTTTTGGGCGAAGAATATTTTTTTTTTTTTTTTTCATCTGTACCTGTGTTACCGGCTGGAAATCGGGGAATTCCCTTGTATCGATGGACCGTAACGGTACTCAAGATATCAGGTTTGGATCTTCACGTTGGTGATCAGTTTCTGACCATCAACTCCCCAGCTTTCGTCACATCGATTTGGATCGCTTTCAAAGGAAAAAAACAACAGTTGAGAAATGGTTGTACCGAAAAAAAGATGGGACAATGCGTTGTACCTGCTTTTAAAAGGCCATAAAGCTCAAATTGGAGACCGTTCACGCGGCCGCGAAACAAAATTTTAAAGGTCTCGCACCCCTAAAAAACAAGATCAGGGCTCTACGTCAGGACGTTCGCAAAAGTCATCTTGAACCGCCCTATTATAGCGAGGGCGTAGCGGTTGAACCACTACGCTCCTGGACGTGGATTTTTTTTTGGATAAGAGCGATTTTGATCGCTGTGAGTTAGAGAGGAGCACTCCGCTGCGCATCCGCATCAGGCCGAAAACCTGCGCGTTGCGTAGCGGTTGCGATATTGCTAGGGCAAACCAACAAAGACTTATGATGCAATTTATCTACAATAAATTGCATTGCGCGAAAGAAAAAGAACCTCCTCTGAGATAATCCGTAGCTGGATCAAGTGGACCTTGACAATAATGGCTGATGAGTGTTGGCAGTTCCCATTTAGTAGTTGGTGCGAGTTGATTGAACCTGATAGTATATTCGGCAGCGGATTTGGTTTGACGTAATGCACGGAGGGCGGCTTCAGCTTTTTTTGACAATCTGAGTCAAAGAAGACAGTTCAATGCTTGGGTGAACTTGTTGTACGTGACCAGGTGGGTGGCTTTGGTGTCCATGATGCATTGTAAAAAAGGTTGGGACCACTTGATAGCTTCACCCGTGAGATACGATATAGCAAACATAACCTTGGCTTTATCCGATGTGAGCAATGTGGTGTTCATGGCGATGTAGATTCTGACTTGGCTTGCATAGGCTTCGGCGACGGCTCCTCTAGTTCCCTCGTACTTGTCCGGCGTGGCAACTTTAATCAATGACGTGGATTGTTGGACGGTGGTAGGGGCTGCAGGTGGGGTTTGTGTGACGGCTGGCATGGTTTGCGGTGCGGCAGTGGTTGACGTAGCCGTTTGGCTGGCTTCGAGCTGAGCGGCTTGGGCCTCAGCCTGTCCACGTCTGGTTCCTTCAGCAAGGCAATTGGTAAGGTCAGTACGTCGATCCGTTTCTTCCAAAAGCTGTTTATTGATGTCCTCCACCTGTTGGATCAGTCTAGCAAGGTCTACTCCGGAAGCCATAGTCGTGGTGTCTGGTTTGCTTTGATTAACCTCGTGCCAAGATGTGCCGCCGATCGACTTGGTTCCCTCGTTTGGTGGTTCGAATGAGGGCATGATGGTGGGAATGAAAGGGTAGTGCTCTTAGGTGATTTAAATGTGTGTCTGATGTCTAAAATTGTGTAATAGCAGTAACTAATAACTATATACTTCTTCTCCAGTTCTTCTCAATAATTTCTTCTTGCTATTTTTTTTTCTTTTTTCTTCTTCTTCTTTTTCTTCTCTTGTTTAAATTATAATTCTTCTTCTTTAATTTCTTCTGCTTGTCCTTATGGTCCATCTCGAGTTAGACACTACAATATGTTATGACCGGCTACGGGGTCTTGGGAACGTGGGACGGAGGGAAGGGTGATCTATGCTTGGTATGAGTATTGTAGCGTGAGGAGCAAAGCAATGTACAACGGGAGTTCTAGTATACATAGTGAGATCTGATGTGTGACTGTCACGCATTGTGACATCCCGTGACCCGTGACCCGCGAAGTAGGATCATAACAATTTATTGGAATGTCGTATGTATCTTTGATTGCACACATAGCTTCCAAACGTGTCATCCCAAGGGTGTAGTATTGTTGAACTAGAGGATAAGCTTGTTCCTTCTGGTCTGGAGTCATTGATGCACGGGCAGTGGTGAGAGAAAATCGCTGGAGAATACGCTGCAGGGTTTGGAAAGTTGTTTTAATATTGTGATCATTGGAAAGGCGGGTGACCATTGTAGCTTGCGTGATACCTTCCTCACAGTATCCAAGAAGGATTGGGTCAAGGACTTCATCATGTATTTCATTTATTTGTACCATGTTTTTATCAAGTGAATTACAAGGTTGGTGAGTGCTGATGATGATTGAAATGATGATTTATTGATTGAAATGTAAATTTGAAAAAACCAAGTGGGTAATTTAAAAAAAACACTCGGAGGTGGGTGCTGATGGTGCTAGCTAGCTGATGAACAGCGAGTCTTGAACTTGATTAATACACTTGGTGGTGGGGGGTGGTGGTGGTAGCTAGGTGGTGGTGGTGGAAGGACAAGTGCAGGATAAACACTGGGTGGTGGCAGCTGGTGGTGATGGTGGTGATGGTGGTAGCTGGTGGTGTTGTGGTGTGTTGGGGTGTAGTGCGATGTTGAAAATCCGGAGACGGAGATCAGAAATCGGAAATTGAAACAAAATTCTGAAATCCGAAATCCAAAATCCAAAATTTGAAAACAGCTTGGCGGTCACTTCACGTCATGGCTTCCGTAGATTTCCCCTTTTTGGTATCGAATCTTTTCGTAATAATTGTTGGATTTATTTGTGCTTCAAATGTCTTATTCATTTTTAATGTATTTCTCATAAATGTATTTCTGATCTTGATAATTATTGTTGTTCTCATTTTGATTACATTACATCATATAGCCCAATGAGGAACATTACGTCAATGATCTTATGACATCATTCATTGTATTTCATTTTTGTGTTTGCTTTATAACCTGATGCTTAACACCAGTCTGATAGATTTCTCTTTTTCTCATCTGACTGTTTCTTTACAAAATCTTATTGTAAGATTGTCGTGTTTTGTTTCTCTTTATGTTATACTAAGATTTCTGTTTTGTGTTTGGATTCAGGATACAGCAGCAACTGTTGCGGTACTGAGAGTTATTTCAGCTGTAACGTGGCGGGTGATCAAAACACAGTTTTACCGGGGGCCCGTGGCGTTACGGACCAGGGAGCAACAAAATCCAGCAACTATTGCTGCGCTGCGTGACAAAAGAACCGCAACGCACCGTACCGCAACAGTTACAAGCTGCGTTGCTGACCCGGTGTTGTTAGTAATAGAAATAAGTTAGCTCACTACAGGTGGCTTTACTTGTTGTGGGACCCAGGCTGACCCAGGCTTGCTTCCACTGGTCAGGGCCAGGGTAAAAAAATAGATGGTAACTTGCACTTTGCTCACATCAGCATAAACTTGAAACGATCTCAGGGTACGGCAACAGTAGGAAAGACTAGTGTATGTCCTGGACTTAATTGCCCTCCTTGGAGCACAAAGTGCGACCTTGAGATGGAAAGGGCTTCCAATTACTTAGCGCACAGCTCACAGAAGAAGGTACTATTTCTAAATCACAAGTTGGGGATGCGACAGGCACATAAACCTATCTAGATGAGTGATGGGGGAGTAAAGGTTCAATTAGCAGGCCCGACCGAGACAGTCTCAAGAGGACGACAGAGGAACCGCCGGGTAGTGTGTTTTCGGGCACAATCTGATATCCTAATTGATGCTACAAACGTGAGAGCCGTTGCCGATCTGTTTCGAGGGGACCACGGACGAGTCGGCCTCGATTTCAGCTTTGGAGATAGTGCAGACGTGCGAGCCATTGCCGATCTGCTTGCCTAAGACGCATACGTGGGAGCCATTCCCAATTTGGCCCCGGCGGCCCTCGGAAGAGGTGGTAGGAGTATTCGCTACATCAGCATTACTGGACTGGATCGCGCTCAAGTTGGAAGTGGTTGTGGTGGGTGACATGGTATATATGACTGGATTCAAGTGCGGTTTGACGCTTGTTAGGATGATCGATTGTTGATGGAGCAGGTGTGATGGAGCAATGGGTAGGTTGTTTATGATTGGGGATCGCCCAGGCGCAATTACAGACGCCTTATATAGGCGCAAATTCTGCTTTAACTATAGTAGCTCACGAACCGGACAGAATTTGGGAACAAAGGCAAGTCCTCAAATGCAATGGCGTCCCATCTACCGTCTTGGCACGGAAAAGCAAATAAGGAAACCGATACAGGCTCAAATATCGCTTTTGCACATAGCTCATCAAGAACCCACAGCGATTGGTCACAAAAAGTCACAAAACACGGACGTTTTAGTCGAACTAATGTCAAGTTTTCCTCGAAAAGCGTTCGAGAAAAGTCGCATCTATGCAGCACGTACGAGGGGCCTACGCCGCGTCCTTCATTGATGTGCACCGATCTCGTCAAAAGCAAACTGTACGGCGTACCCATTCTGTGGATCTTGCTCTTGACTAATTAACAAAGGCCCTCTCGAGCGGCCGCTTTCGCGCCCTCGAAGAGGGACTTATGACCTCTTATGACCAATTGTCTATATCCCTGCACGAGCACCCGGCGCAAGAGGAACTTGGTTAAGTTGAATATTGTCACGACATTTGCCTTCTGGCCTTCTGGTAATCATCGCTTTTGGTCCAAGTTTTGATCGGACCCCTCGTGATCGCAATATGATGTAAAGGAAAAGCATCATCACGCACACATAGATTGTCTCTGCTTACGGATCTATGGAGGAAGCTTTTTATCCCGTTCGACACAATACGTTCGCCGTGATGCACCGCTCCACTCGGTGGATTTCATCTTGACGCTCATCGAGTCCTCCACATCTCACCACGTGGTTTGACGTATCCCTCAGTTAACAAGTGTATACCACCGATCTTTTATTGCCATCCACGGTCACAATCTGAGCATCTTTATTGTCCCGCGATCAGAAAAAGAACACAGCCTTTGTTGTCACGCATTCATCGAAGGGCGGTTTTGAAATGCACATCCTGGGGCATATGAGGGCATCAGCGTTCGACCCATGTTGCAAACGTATTTAACCGGCTGATCCATCTATATCCTACCGCGCACATTCAACACACACAAGCCATTATCCACACTTCATCATCATCCACTCATATAAGATACAATACAATCATCGCCTCTCAAGTACAAGCCATTTCAGGATGTCACACTCTCCACTTCTAACCAGGATCTCGAGCAACGTCTCCAGCGATCGAAGCTCTTTATCATCTCCACACAATGCTCGTGGGGGTCAAATCGGTGGCAATCCAACCGGATGTATCATTAGCAAACATATGGCAATCAAATCCTAACTCTTCCGTCGTTCCGGCTGAGAATATCACAAGTCTCAAATAGCTTCCTTCGAATACCTTGCGGATTCGTCGACTCCGGCCCGCCGGGGAGAATCCTGCGCAGGAACGTACGGCAAGTCTGAATTGGTACATATCATCGGTCTAGGCTCTAGGTTTTCTGGGGATCTTAACTCCGCATCTTATTCCACTCCGTCCTTGATCTGTTTGAACCCAACTTTTGA